AAGGAATCCTGGCGAGGTCTTTTATTTGGGGGATTCCAGAGAAATGCTGGCTGAGTCAGCAGCCCCCTCTAGGTCCAGGAGCAGAAGGTGGTAAGTCTTTCACTGACATTCACTTTGCCATTTAGTTGGCATAGGCTTGCACTGATCAGAAAGAAACTTTGGATTGAGAAATTTCAGTTGAATAACCTTTAGGCCTGAAAAATAGAATTATATAAGCATCTCAGAAAGACCACTCAGGCCAGGTCCCATAGTTCAAAGTGGCTATGGCTTATTTTACACCACACCTGAAGGCCTGAAAAGCTGTGTGTGGTCTGAGTCTGTTTGCCTCACTAATCTCTGTCATTTCACAGGCTGCCTAATTTCCTGATGGGTTTGAAGTACAGCTGTTTTTCAGGTTGTCTGCCACCCTCCTTCATTCTCTAGGTCTAGGACCTATGGTCCAAAAACAGTTAAGTGAGCTCCTTTTATTCCTCTGCATTTTTAAAAGCAACCCCCTCCTCTAATTCTATTGTATTTATTTGATCGAGTCAAGATATCGCCAAAGGGTGGCAACCCATATGTCCTGCCTTCTTTTGGCATGACACCAGTTCTCTTTCCCTTCACTTTGTGTTCCGTGGAGCTCAGACTTTCAGTCGCCCAACAAGCATCCAGTTGATTATAAGAGCCCGGAGGACACTGGTGGCTTCTCTCCCTTCATGTCTCCACCTCCACTACTCAGCATCCTCCTGCCAACTTCACCAAATTAAACTGGGCCTTCTGGAGCCAGTGTTAGTTCATCAGCCTCAATGTGCTTTTCTCTGACCCTACCAGCCAACACCATGTCATCCATTTCTGTTGTACTTACTGAATACCAAACATACTTCACACTTAAGGCTGTTCTTTAATCACAGGATCTTCTGTAGTACTGCAGAAAAAGTTTGCATTCTAGAATTCAAGGTCCAGGCTCTAGATTCATGTACTGGCTGTGAGCCTTTGAGCAAATTACTTCACCTTTTTGAGCCTGTTTTCTCATTTGTAAAATGGGTATCGTGGTCTTTGTTGCCTAATTGTTAGGATGATAAAATGAGTTGATTTTTTTAAGGGCACTGTAAACTGTTAAAAGGTTACACACTTATTGGTCAGTATTAGGTTGTCCTGCTTTGCTACCTTCCCTTTCTCCTTGGTTTCATGTGAAACTAGAGCTTTGGGAGTGATTAGGGAGGTAAGAGATGAATCAGCATAAAGCCAGCCCATCCAAAACCTCCTTGCCTAAAACCAATTACACTGACAACCAATTTACCTAAAAGTCAAAGTGGTAATTTTGAAAGAAGTCACTTTGTACAAATTTTTTAAAGAGGCACTTCAACATAATGTCATATTTTTAAATCACTCTGTCATGATCTGCAGTATTTTGTCGATGATGAAATCATTTTGTTATGCTTATAGATGGCTTTTTCTATTTTATCTCCTATTGAGCAGTTTTATGACTTCTTAGTAAGTTTGCCGAAGACCTTCTCTTAAAATTGTATATTTATAGCAGTAAATACTTGTCAAATCTGTAGCATTTCCCATAAGATTTATCAAATGCACCTTTTTGTTCACTCCCAGCTCCTTCTTGCTTGGTTTTACTTTGCATCCTATATGCTTGTGTGCACCTTACGAGTTGATTAACCAAATTAACATGTATCTAGTGTTCCTTTCTGTTCTGCAAGGTAATGGCATTTTGACAACAAGCATGAAGAAGTGAGACAGATAGGACAGAATTGTGTCAAACTCCTTGCATTTTATTTTTCAGGCTATCTCATTTATCAAGCAACTCTATTTTGTGAAACAAAATGATATACACAAAGTCATTTCCAAATGTATTTATTACAAGAATTATAACATTTTTCAAGAAAGGAAAACTGGCTAAAAAGTCCCAAAAGTGTTCAAAAGTAGATAAAATTAGAAGAGACCCACCAAGGATACAAAACAATTTTTAGTAGAAATCCCACCTTTAATCACAATGTTCTTAAATAATTTGCTTTCTAAAAGTCCTTTAAATGACACTGCAAAAAAATTAGGACACTCAAACAGATTCCAAAACACTTGAAAGTGTACTGTATTTTATGTGAACTGGCCATTCAGCATAGATACTCTTTTTGTGAGTTTGTGGCAAATTGGTCTGTGGCCATTTGACCTGGAACCAATTTGGGATGCAGGCATATTGCCTTGCACGTGCAATATGTGGGCATGGGGACAACCATGGACCTCAGGGGGCGGGAACAGCTCTCCTGAACATGACCTCCCTGAGTAAGGGCAAATTGTCATTTTTAACTCTTTATTACAAGGACATATTTACACAGAACAATCTTTACAGACACAGTGAACACAATTATGGGAAGGGGACAATTTCTTAATGAAAAGGGTCTTAATATCTTTGTATAAATTAGTATAAGAATCATACACAACCACTTTAAATAAGAGCCCCCCAGTCCTCCAGTAGCCTCTGCTGCCCTGTGCCATCCTCTTTTTCCCCTTCCTTGTGAGCCTGGGGAGCTGATAAGATAGGAGATACAGAGAAGAGGAGTGGGGAAGAAGGCCCAGCCCCTGGTGGGGCCATCAGTGGCAAAAGAGGCTTTCTGGGTACTGGCCAGCTCCTACTCTGAGCCTGAGGGTTGTGGGGGGAGGTGAGTGCTCAGCCAGGCTCCCCAGGGTGGGCCTTAAAGCAGCAACAGCAGCAGCAGCAGCAGCAGCAGCAGTAGCAGCAGCATTAGCAGCAGCAGAAGGGTGAGAGGTGGGTAGGCAACATTGGGGTTATTGTGGGGCTTGGGGGGCCCTGACTCCCCCTGCCCCCAAACATACATAGGTGGCTAACAGGCTCTTGTCTCCCCTTTTCTCCCTCCTAGGAGTCCTCTTGAGAAGGAAGCCTGCTCAGACCCACACTTCATCCCATTCTTCCTTCCTTCCTTCTCTCCTTTTCTTCCTCCAAAGGGAAGGTCACCAGGAAAAAAGGTCCAGCTAACATGAAGGGAAGGCTATTGAGTCCAATTACTTAAGGCCACCTCTGAGCTCCTAAAAACCAATGTTGGGTCTCGGTGCCTGAGCTGCCCCTATGAAAATACCAGAGGTATGGCAATGCTGAAGGAATGGGATCAGCTGGCCTGTTAAGGAATTTTTCAGCCCAAGTTGGGAAATGAACCAGTAGGGGCATGCCAGGGAAGCGGGAGCAGCTCTGTCCCTGTGCCACCACCAACAAGCCACCACCACCATGGGGCAGTTCACAGCACACTTGCGTCTTCCTCCTAGTTGCCCCCAGCCTCAATCCCAAGAAAAGGCACTTAATAAGTTTTGAAAAGACATCAAGAGAGAAGGCATCATCAAGTGGGAGTTGGGAGACCTGGGCCCTCATTATGGCTCTGCGGTGACCCTCAGCAGGTCACTATCCCTGTCTCAGACTCTCCTTTTGTAGGAGTTTGCATAAAGAGGCAGAGCTAAATGATCTGTTAGGTTCCTTTTGGCTCTGATATTCTGTGATTCTAGGCAAAAAGACTTCTACCTGGCTTTTGCTCCTGGGAAAGTAAAGAGCCACCTCAGGTCCATCATGATCCCCTCCTGAGCTAGAGCTTGAACTAGCTGTTGAGGGGGCCAGAGTAAGTTGGGAAACGGTGAGTTAGGAGTAGTGTTAGAAGTCACGGTAAGGCGAGAGAAGTGACAAAGTACTTCATGCCCCTCTCCACTTCTTTAATCAGGCCAACCATGGGGATGAAGAAATGGCCACGAAGCTGTTCCTCCTCTTCTCCAATGCTACACCACTTCCCTTCACTACAGCACCAACCCCCCACTCCAATGTCCCCCAAGGCACCCTGCTTGCATCCCAAGGCCCCTGGCCTCTAAGTAGAGTCTCTCATTGCTCATTCCTTTACTCTCCTGTGGAGGCCTGCTGACGGATCCAAGTGGCACCAAAACCTGGGATCTGCTGGAGCACAGTGAAGAAGAGAGTGTTTCCATGCAGCCCCCAGGGCAAACCTGAGGAAGGGAGGGCTGTATGAAGGGTTGGGGTATTAGGTGAGAGAGTGGAGGCTAGGACAGGGGAAGTCCAGAGGAAAGGACGGCCTTCCAGTGCTGGGTTCCCACAGTCAGTCCAGAGAAGGTCCAAGAAGAGGGCTGAATGGATCCTTGGGGGCGCAAGGGAATCATTGAACTAGGGGCAGGGCCATGTCATCGAGGGAGGCTGGTGGGTGAGAAGAGTTGGGACCATCAGCAGCTAGAATGAGTGCAAGATGACAGGAGAATGGATATAAGGGCTCCAGAGAAGCAGACCAATCTGTGGAGTAGAGAGAACTTCACGGAGTGAGTACTTGAGGGCCCCTTCAGTCCTAAAGAGACAAAAAAAAATGACCACAGAGAAATAATTGGCACGTCCTAGGTCAAAGGAACTACCCAGGAATGGAGAGGAGACATCCTTCATCTGCCCCTTCCTCACAACCCTAAGCGTAAAGGCCGAGACCTCTGAGTTGGTGCTACCCTGTTCTGGATACAGAGCAAGACACCGCAGGCCAGGCCTCAGGAACAGGTTTAGGCCCTGCTCTCTCTTCTGCCACCTTTGATGTTTCTCCCCTTCCTATGCTCTGGGCAACTCTCTTCCAATTCTCTACCTGCTAACCTCTAAGGCTCTCTGCACCCCTTCCTTTCCCCCATCTGGTGAGGATCTACACTGTATACCTGTAGGCATTCCCTGGGACACCCAACCCCAGCTCATCAAAGACCCCTAGGACTTCTAGAAATCTCCAACTAGGCCAGCCTGCCCAATCCCAGGGTGGAGGAGAGCCAACATGCAACTGCTGAGGAGCTAGGAGGTTGGCCCCCAAGCGTCCAGCCCCTCTCTGGACCTTGGTCATACTCTGTAAGCCACTATGTTGTGTGTGGAACCAGGACTGCTTGTGTCTGGCCAGTGATAAGCACAGGGTCACCCAGCTTTCAGGCTAATCCTCACCTCGCCCTTCTACACCATCCACTGATCAGAGGCTCAAGTACCTGTTTCAGAAAGGCATGGGGCCCTTATGAGAGAGGCGTGGCCGCTGGCGGCGCAATTTTCTGCGGCCTCCCTGCCAGGGCCCCGGTCCATTCCTTGATCCTCTGGGCTGCACCAGGTGGCGGACATTGCCTTCCTCCAGCCCCTTCCCGGCAGAAGGCTGCAGCAGGGGCCCTGCGAGAAAGAGAAAGCCTGTTAGCAGGAGACCTCAGGCCACAGGCCCATAGTAGGGGATAATCTCTCCATAAAGTGGCATTCTACATAGCTCTTCTTTGTTTTTATCTTCTATCTTGATGAACAATTTGTAATTTCTCCACTGTCCTGGGAGCAAGTGGAACCCACTCATCACATCTTGAAATTTATAGAGCTGAATTTATGTCCTTTAGACAGTTCTATCATGTTTCTGGCAGGCACAAATGTGTTCTTTGTTTAGAACATAACTGGGGGGTGCAGTTTGGGATATTATACCTGTGCTTGGCTGGGGAACAGCAGGCAATAAAGCCCCTATTGCTCCCTTATAACTGATGCACTTAAAACATTTCAAATCTACAACATATTAGTAAAATGAATGCCTCCACCACCATGTACCCATCACCCAGATTCAAGTTATTCAGATGGAGTCATATATGCCTTTGTTATCCCTTTTCTTTTTTTTTTCTTTGCTGAAGTATATTAAAGCTAATCCAGAATTGTACTCCTAGGTCCTTCATTACACAGTGGCCCACTTTTGAGTACTGGAGATCTCACACCTTGCTCCTGGCACCTCATCAGTGTTTAGGCATTTCCTGAGCTCCCTTCTGTGGCCAGCCTGTGGGCACCCTGTGGGCATGGCTTGGGGGGGGGTCCTCTAACTTATGTGTGCCTCGTACTGGATTCTACTCGGCCTGTGACCAGATTTACAGGCCAATAAATATTCATGAATGAATGAACAAATGAGTGAATGGTCACCTCAGGCAGCTAGTCTGTGTATGAGGAGGAGGTTGTGCTGCTGTAGTTGGCATCTCCCCACTGGATGCACTCATTTCCTTTCATTCTCATACCACGCTCCCATTCTGTGTCTGATGTAAATTCCTGACATTTCAATTTCAGCTGGCTTCTCTTCTGCCCTCTGGGACCTGCTCTGTATCTGTCCACATTTGGCTTAGAGTAGAGAAGCCTTCTGCTTGCAGACCAAGCCCTGGCAGTACACTCTAGGTTGTTCTGGGTGTTCCTGGTTTTGATGAGGAGGAAGGCCCATGGGCCAGCTCTCATGGATGCTGCAGTCCATCCAAGAAAGTCTGGAAGCAGGCAGAGTGGGGAGATGAGATGATACTGGGCAAGAGGCAGACTGGAAGAGTGCTCCTGCAATGCCCATTATGGGGCTGGCTTGCAGAAATATGGCTTCCAAGGCCAATGATCAGGAATTCCAGCCTCTCCTCCCCAACATCATCGGATTCACCTTCAGCTCTATCCCTGCTCTTCAAGCCCCAGTTCCATCACTAGTTCAGTTTCCACATACCTCCCCACCTTATTGGCTGGTAGCTTTGAGTCATGCCCCTGGCCACTCCTCCTTTTCCTCCTCCCGGCTTCCAGCATCCTTCCTTGGTTCCTTGGCTCTTGTGATTCCTCCTCCACTTGCACACAATTTCCAGGTGTTTATTCTCCTCTCGGGCAGAGAGGAGGTGAGGTTTGTCCTTAGGGCCCTCCCTGTCCAGGCTCCTGGGGCCCACTGCTCTCCACCCGAACACACACACATGTACTACACACACATGCACACTCTAGTCCTCTACTCTCCCTCCCGGCCCATTATAACCTTGCTGTTTACCAGTCACACTTCTGTGCTTCTGGTCAGGGTGGGTTAATATGTCAGCTCCTCCCCTAAACCCATCACCTAATGAGAATAAAAACACAAATCAGACTTGTACTTTAGGGCATTAGGCATGGACGGGGCCAGGAGGCCATTTCCATCTGTCATAGAACTACCTACCCTCTTGGTGCCATCGGCAACAGATCTGGGCTGGAGAGAGGAAGGAAGGAAGGACCTTCACTAAGTTCCTTACCCCAGTTGCTCCAGCTTCTTCCCTTTGTTTTGGGGTCCCCTCAAGGCTGTCCCTGCCCACTGAGGCAGATAAGAATGATGCCAATTAGGAGTCAGTACCAGAGAAACACTTGGAGCAGGAAGGACTGTGGTGAGGGCATGGCCAGGCACAGCAAAGGACCCTAGGAGCCTTGACAATACAAGTGAGACCTTGGTTCTTGCATCACTGCCCAACTACTGGGGGTGGAGTGGGTATAGGGCAATAGCACAGGCTATGGCCCCAGGGGTACAGTAGGTATACAGAAGAGAAGCACAGTGTCCAGATTAGGGAGAGGGTTTATCTCCAAATGATCATCACCCATGACTGTGAGTGTTGGTGGGAGAGAGGGCTAGGGGTGACGGGTCCTAAGTAGGGGGCACAGAAACACAACGGGGAACAAGGATGGTGGTTCAGACTCTGGCCATGGAGATGGCTAAACTGTAAGCCTGCAGAGAAGAGCTCCCTGAGTTGTCTGAGCACTCAGGCAGGCCACAGAGAGCAGCCACTCAGAAGCTCCTGACGTCTTGCATCCCATCCATGGAAGGGGTGGCACTCACTGTCCTTGTAGCTGGAAAAGTCTGCAGCTCCTCACGCACCCTGATCCCATCACCCACCTGTTTCCTACTTTTGATTCTGAATCTGGCTCACCCTAAGAGAAGCTGACACCTGAAACCTGGGCTTTATCCTGTCCAAAGGGACTTTTAGAGGCTGTTGATTCTCATCACTACAGAGGTCCCGGCTATACAAAAAGAATTCCCCTTTAGAAATGGGGGCCATTCTCAGTGCACTTAAATAGTTTCTTTCAACTCATTTTCTACTTAAAGAGAAGCTGGAGCAATCCCCCAAACAATCTCCAGTCTAGAGGGACTGGAGCCCTCACTCTCCAAAGTACCATCAGCAATGAAGTCCCAGCATCTCTGCACTGAAAACCACAGTCAAGGAAGAACAGGGTTTGATCTTCAGGCAGCCTGAACTCCAGGTCTGCCAATGCACAAAGAGATACATGAGACTTTTCAGGAACATGCCAGGCTCAGCAGGAATGACGCACCTGTTTTTCCCCTTGTCACCCAGCTTATCTTACAATTGTTTAAAAAAACCCATGTGGGTGCTCTGGTAGGGACCCTGCTGGTTATGTCCCCTCCACCATTCAGGGTCCTGAATGCGTTTCCAGGATGAGATCTCCTTTGTTTGCCCAGCCTTCCACTCAGTGCCCTGAACAACCTTCTCACGTCAGCTTTGCTGTGTTTGGACGCATTATGCTCTGACAGCCTGGCCCTCCATTTCACTTGCATTGCCATCGAGAGGCCTGACTCAGGTTACATGGATGCTCAGCTCATAGGAATTGAGGATAGAGTGGTGATGCCCCTGCCCTGAGTGGGAGGGGTACAGTAGGATGTCCTCACACTATCACTGTGACTGCAGGGTTTGAGCTGGGGCTGGGGAGGGGAAGGAGAAGGAGGAGAAGGACAGAAAGAAAGGTACTCAGACAAAGACCAAGGAACACTTGGCCCTGGCCCAGCAGCTCTGAGAATCAGAAGAGCAAAGTGTACCCCAGGTCAGGAGGCAGTGGAGGGGTATGTGTATGCTGGGTAGAGAAGGGGGAAACATTCCAAGTTAGGATGAAGTTTGTTTTGGAGGAAGCATGGTTTTTAGGCCTGGGGCTTTGACGGGAAACTCTAGGTCAGGAGACCATGCAAATCTAGGCCAAGGGCAAGGTGGTTATGGGGTTCCTGTGTCTGACCCAGGACAGAAGTCAGGAGAAACAGGATATGGGTACCAGGACCCTTGGCTTGCCGGCAACCTGAATGGAGGTGCCGTCCCTCAGCTCCAGGAGAGGTCATGGGTGGATAATGCACTGGGAGCCTTGGAAGTGTCCTGTGCTAGACTTGAGCAAAATGTTAGAACAATATATTTACCCAAATCAGGAGAGGTAGATGATAGATAGCCTAACAAAGAAGGGTTAATTAAAGCAAGCAGTGGCAGGGGCTGGGCCAGACAGTGTTCCCTCCATTTGAAACCAGCTGTACCCTTTACCAGTACTGCTCTAACATCTGGACCCCGAAATGGTTCTAGTGGTGGTCAGTTGGCCAAGGGTCTCCCCATAGCCTCTGGGGAGCACCAGGTGTGCAGATGAGGCAACCCCAGCTTCCTCTGGAATGCCCTCTCTGCACCCACTCTTTCTTCCCTGAAGACATCCCCTTGGACTAGTTACCAGTAGTGGTATCAGGTGTGTGTCTTGTCTTGCCAACTGCACTGGATGGTGGTGCTATGGAGAACAAACCCAGATGGTACCTTTCATGTCTGTTGCTCTCTTCCTACCATTGCCCGACAGGAGTTTCTGAGGAAAAAGCCTGACCCCCTCTTACCAAGGACATGGCTGACCCAGAGCTGGGGCCCTGAGAGGAAGACCACTGGACAACTAGCTGAAGGCAGGTGATGCCAGACCCAACGAAAGCACCTTTCAAAGAAGCCAGGCAGTGCTCCCAGGTCCAAGGCAGTGCCATAAGACAAGAACAGAGAAAAGAGGAGGCCTACAAAGAGGGAGAGGTGTAGCTCCGTCAGGCCCCGCAGAGCAGGCCACTCTGCTCTGGAGGGTCTGGAACCAAGTGGGGCCCTGTGCCCTTCCTCTAGGAAACTTGCTGCCCTGCCCTCTCTTCCCCTCTGCCCCCATCTCCTTGTGACTCCAGCCCTGACACAGGCATTAGTCCTCCTGGTCTTGGTCTTTACTTCTGTGGTGCCAGGCAGGCAGCAATGACAGCCAGATCACGGGACTACAGCAGCTAGAGGTGGGAGATGGCAACCTCAGGAGATACTGACACTCAGAGGACAGGCTGCCCAGAGTGGGACTGCTGGGGCTTGAGGAGGGGCAAGGAGCACCAGTGCCAAGTATGCCAGGTGGGGGATGTGGTGCAGAAGAGGGCAAAAGGACTCCCCTTCCCTGAGCTGCATGGAGGTGTCAGGTTAGGCACAGTCTCCTGGCTTGGTGCCTGGAGACAGGGGGACTAAGGTGAAGCATGCCTGTGCCTGACCTAGGATATTGAAGAACAGAGTCTGGGGGCCTCCTGTGCAGGAGTAGAATAGACCAGACAGGACCTTGGAGTGAGGGTGGAGAAGAACAGCCTGGCCCTGCCCAGCTTGACCAGTGGGAGGCTGCTTCTGCTCGCATGCAGGCTGAAAGGAGCAGCAGTCAGGCTCCACGCAGCTGGGCTCTACACCGCCGCCCCCGCCCCCGCCCCACTCCTGCCTATGCAACAAGTGTCACGTCTGCATTTTGGCACATCATCTCCAGTGGCCTGTGCTCTGCGACCAGACCAGCCGGCAGTTCCTAACCTGCAGGGTCGAGGAAACTTGCAATGAGAGAGCGCAGCCCACGGGGCTCAGGTCAGTTCCCTCCACTGACCCACGAAGGGAGCTGGACATGCCCCCCTCCACCAGCCTCCACCACGTGGGATGTGGGGCGCCAGACACGGGGAGCATGCCTGCGGCTCTGAGCTCCTAGGACTGTGAGGAGCAGCCAGGAGGGGCAAGGCGCCGGGCGGGTGAAGCCCGATGCCGCATCCAGTGGTCCCTGGCCGTGGAAGCCCTGTCAGTCGGCTGCCAGCGCGTGGCTGCTCCTGCCCGGCAGCCGCCCGTCTGCCTCCAGAGAGTGCACGGGTGGGGCGAAGGGCAGAGAGCGCGGCAGCCAGAGAACGGCCAGTGGGGCGCGGACCTACAGGAGGCAAGCACTCACCTCCGTACACCGCGGTCAGGGAGAGCCAGAGCAGCAGGAGCGCCTGCACGCAGAGCCGCAGATTCATACTGGTCCTCCGGCCGCTGCGCCGCAGGCCTGGCCAGGTGGCGGGGAGGCGGAGAGTTTGGGAGTCCACAGGCCCAGAAACGCTCTAGCTGCGGCTGGTGCGGGCTGGTGAGCGCGGAGCTCGTGGGACTCCTGGGCCGCTCCGCAGGCTGGCTGGCTGTGCGCTTGCCGCCTGCCCTCGCCTGCCGCCTGCCTCCCTCGTGCGGGCAGCACCGCCAAGCTGGCCCCAGCGGCTCTTGGGGCGGTGGCAAACTCTTTCCAAGAGGCAGGCTGCTCGGCCGCGGCTCCAGCTGCCCGAGGTCCAGGCTGCCAGTGAGAATGCTCCCTGCTCACTCTCGGGGCTGCATTTTGTAACTTGTGGCTTGGCTAAGAGCCCACTTGGTCATGTGGTCATCCAAAGGGCTGGAGGGGGGGCCAGGAAGAGAGAGAGGGGGCGAGCCTCCCGGCACACATTCTGTAGCCCCAGCCAGGGCGCTAGAGGGAACCTCGAGGTGGCCCCACAACAAAGGCTGCACGGCCCGCCGACAACCCATAACTACTTCCCAGACAATGCCCGCCTGGCTGGGGGCAAGAGGGTTTGGGAGACCTGAATGATTTCACACACAGGAAGAATTTGGGGCGGTCGAGGGGCACACTTAACCCTTTCTCACATCGATTCCTTACCAGCTGTCAAGGAACCTGGGCGCTCCTAGAGGGACCCGGCCAAGGCTGCTCCAACTCTAACCTTCTGTCATCAGAAATATCTCTTGACCCACTCCCTTCCCCTGCCACTCGCATCAGCAAGGTTTTGGCGAAGACACCCCCCGCCACACACACACACTGGCCCTCGTATCTCATCTCCTCTGCAACTTCAACTGGGCTTGCATTGAGGATGATTGTCCAGGCTTGTGTCCAAGACCGCTTGCTTAATTGCCCAGAGCCCCCACGAGGCACCCTCTACCTGGAATGCCCCTACTCAGCCCATCCTGCTCCTGAGTTCTTCATTCTTAAAGCAGTACTTCAAATCTCAAATCCTATCTTATCTAGAAGATTTGCCAGGATAACAAATACTGCAGGAGGGACTGCCCCTGGGTCCCTCCTCACTGCTGGGACATGCAGCAGCTCCTGTTGCATCAAGAGGAGGGCAGTTTACCCAATTCCAAACCACCAAGACTGGATTAATTTTGCATGTCTTTGGGATTCCCCTTTGTAACTGTGTCCTGAAGTGGTTTGCCTTCCCAGACTAGACTGTCAGCTCCTACAGCCCAGGAGCTCCCAAGGGAAGGGACTGCCTCATTCAAGGGACTGGGAATCCCCTAAGATAGACCACTGTCTTCTCATTTTTATGCATTTCTCCAAAGTCCCCCATATTGAACTCTGCACATAGGTGGCACTCAACACATGTTAAAAGACTAAATCGAAAGATGTTTCCCCATTTCAGTTGCTCAGGTAGTTTGCTTGAAGTGTAAGTCCAGATTTACACAAAAAAAATACATTGGACAGTGTATATGTGTGCCATAAAAGATACAAGACACCATGGTATTTTTAAAATATGTTTGAAATGTTAAAACAATCCAATACATACACAATTTATTTATAATCAGTCTCCACCATAATTGTCAGCTCCACAAGAGAGGGATCTATGCCTTGTTGTATCCCCAAATCTAGAACAGTGCCTGTGGGACATGGTGCTCAATACATAATTTTGAATACATAAATAAAATTTTCAAAAATATCCTTTTTTCCTAAACCAGGATAGTGGGAAGGGAATAAAATAGGGTTCTTTTTAGTAGTCTGTGGCTCATTAGTAACATTCCAGTAGGGAAAAGGCAGAGGCATGAAGCAGAGCACCTCTTCATCCACGAGGTCCAGGCTGTGAACAGCAGGCATTGGTAGCATGAGATCATCTTCCCCACTCTCCCCTGAAAAGAGTCTTTCAACCAGAAGGAAAAACACCTGACCTCTATCTACCCTGATCTACTATAGGGCCATACTGTCATCGCCTAAATTTACCAGGTCTCATGGGAATGATTATCTCCACCTTCCCTCCTTCAGGGTTGTTATAAGATTAAATGAAATAATGTACCTGAAGGCACTGTGCCAATGGGAATAAACCCCTGTAGGGCCATTTTTAGGAAGTGTGATGTTCCAACCCCTGACTGAGTAAGCCCATGCACCCCCGAGTGACTCTCCCCTATAACTAGATTAATAGAAGTATTCACATGCAATTATATCTTTACTAGGGCATGTATGGACTATTTTCTAAGTGGTTAGAACTGTGCTTTCCAATCTAGTAGATACAACATTTAAAATAATCGAAAATTTTAATCTCCTCAGTCGCACTGGCCACATTTCCATTGCTCAGTAGCCACATGTAGCTACAGTATTGGACAGCACAGAAAAGATCCTTTAATTCATTGAAGAAAGTTCTATTGGACAGTGCTGGGTTACAGCACCTCATTTATTCTTCCTTTTTTCTATAATGTTTTCCTCCATCATACCTAGTCTTCAAAAAGCAAAAGGGAATACAACAGCAAACCAATTGTGTTCAAGGCAAGCAACACAGTAAATAGAAAGCATGCATTTAAAGCAAGATTTAAAAAGCTGAACATGTGGGTGAATCATGTTTTAATCTAATCCTTCTTCGTATTTAACCAAATTGCATCATTTTTCCAGTTCCAGATCCAAGCTATCATCTTTTTCCTTTCTCAGGCCACTCTTGCCCATGGTGATTTTGCCCTCTTCATAATAGCTATGGCTGTACCTTTCATTGGCATTTACTCTTGCAATGTGTTGAAAGTACTTTTGTGTCTGTATGCTGTGCTCTGCAGGCTTGTAGAGAGGGTCTCCCACCAGTGTACCCATTCTGGAACTGAGGCCCTTGAGACAAGGAATGCAATTCTGACTGCTCACTCTGAATCCCCCATGGGTTCACATACATGTCAGTATCATTCAAATGTCCAGTTCTCATATCTGCCTCCACCCACCAGACTTGAAGGTCACCAAAAATGTAGTACTTAGCACAATGCTTACCACATAGTGAACACTCAGAAACTCCTTGTTGAAAAAATAAATAATTATTGGAATAACTCTGTGCTGTCTTTTGTTCAGGAAGATGATACTGTTGAGTTAATATCAGCAGAATAAATGTTTTTGAGGTCCTTCTTTAGGGGTGGGAAGGCGGTACATGAAATCATACTCACTCTCTTGCCTTGAGGCAGCAAGCAGCTGTGAAGTACATTGCTGTATGTGGCTTGGGCCTGTGTGCAGGGGCAAGACTCAATTTCTAACCAAGGTTGAGGGTAATCTGAGGGGCAAGGGTAGGATTCAGTGTATTATTGGGGACAGAGGTGAGATAGCTGACCTATGTGAAGCCAGCCTGTGGCTTGGAACCCTCATCAGCACTATGCACAAGCTTTTTAGTTCTACTTAGCATGCTATGTCATCACCACCAGTTGATGCTACTCAGCTGACTCACTCAGCTCTCTCTTTTTTGGGTTTGAGAGAGCAGTATGGTGTATTACAAAGAACTCAGCTTTCAGAATTTCAAATAACTGAATTCAAACCCTGTTCCTCAGTCTCATTTGTTTGCTGTGTGACCTTGGGAAAATTAGTTAACCTCTCTGAGCCTCAGTTTCTCCAGCTGTTAAATGAAGATAATAATAGTACCTACCTTGTTATGGTTGGAAGATTAAATGAGATAATGCAAGCAAAGTACTTAGCATGTACCCCAGCCCATAGCAGTTGCTCATTCAATGTTAGTTTTTTCCTCTTCCTGACATGCCCCCCAACTCATCTTTAGGATCTGTCCTTTGGCCTCTTCAAGAGGGAAAGGCTCTGACTTTGCCTTGCTCCATGCACACCTGTCAAAACTGCTCCCTGTCTTATTCCCCCCAAATGCCAATCGCTGCTGGAGCTAATCTGATGAATGCACTTGATCCAGGGAGTTAATGAGTAATAGTGGTTTGAGGTTTTGCCTCCTAGGTATAGGATTGATTTTAATAGGGCCTTTGGGGTATAATGTCCTACCCCAAGTTCCACCCTTTTGAGCATGGAGACACTTTAATGACTTTCATTTCACTGCTCCACATAAAGTTCACCTTGCTTCAAAGTCAACCCAAAAAGGGATTCCCTCTGGCAACTTACAATACAGCTTTCAACCTGCAGGTCCAGCCACTGAAGAAGACAGAGTACAATCCTGCTGCAGCCCATTCTTGTTCACCTGTCCCCACAGATGATAATGATGATGATGATGATATAGATAAAATTTATTTAGCATATACTTTACATGTATTAACTCATTTAATCCTCACACCTATGAAGTACTCCTATTCTTTATCAATCTCAGTTTACAGATAGGCAACTGAGACTAACAGAGATTAAATAATTTTCCCAGGCTTGCCTAACCTCAAAGCCCATACATTTTCCTCACTGGGCTTCCAGAAGCAAATTCTCATATCTCCGGGCTCATATATCACTAAATTTGCACTTCTAACAACTAACTTATACTGTCTTAAATCGAATTAAGAAGCAGTGAGGCCTGGTCGTTAAGCACATGGGTTCTGGGATAAAGCAGCTGTCACTAAATAGGTAACTTTGGGTTAATTATCTGGTCTTTCTGAGCTTGGGCTCCTCATCTGATAAAAGGATTAGTCTGTAGCTCCCTAGGTTATTGGAAGGATTCAATAAATCAGTACTGATAAAGTACTTAGTATATCCCTGGCTGTCATGACTCAGTTGGTTGGAGTGTCATCCCATAACCAAAAAGTTGTGGGTTTGAGTCAGAACACCTTCTTAGACTACAGGTTCAATCCCCAGTCCGGGCACATAAGATCCCCAGTATGGGCACATACGAGAGGCAACCAATTGATGCTTCTCTCTCTCCCTTTTTCTCTCTCTAAAAGCAATAAAAAAAATGCCCATGGGTGAGGATTTTTTTTTAAAAAAAGAAAAAACAAAGTACTTAGTACAGTGCTTGATTCTCCTACTAAGGCAAGCATTATGTAAATGTTATATATTTTC